GGGCGGGGCAGTCGCTCATTTATGGGCTGGCAAAACCGGCGAGGGATTGCGTGGCCGAGAATTACCCGATGTGGCAGGTGCCAAAAATGGCATGTCAGGACCGCCATTTCCGAAGGCAGGCAAGCCGTCTCTTGTTTTACTAAGTATAATACCCTTTTATTAAGCTAAATTATAGTATATTAGTTATACTAATGTTTTTTTACCTAAACTACCCACTTACTTATTATAGCCTCTAATAGTAATAATAACCTAAGCCCCTCTATTATTATTATTAATATTATAGTTAAGCACTACGCCCTTTAAAGTATTAAAGTTAGAAAATCTAGCCTATAAGCTAATAGGGCTCGAATAATTATTATAAAATAGTTAAAAGCTAAGAAAGCTAACTAAGGCCCTATGCTAGAGCTTAGTCTAAGCCCGGAGCTATAGCTTATTAGTTAAGTAGAGTTTAAAAAGGATAATACTATTACTACGGTAATAATAAATATACGTTTTTCTTTAGTTCTTTTTTATTAATAATAAATAACTAATTACCAATTTCTTTTTTTTTTAGCCCGAGCTTAGTAACGAGGAGTATATTAACTTAGTAAGTGCGTAGCTAGAGTAGTAGTAATAATAGTATTAATAATAGTACTAATAGTACGAAGGGTCCCCTAAGTAGTAGTAATAATAATAATATTAATAATAAGAGGAGACTACCGAAGGCCCTAAAGGGTATTAGTAATATTATAATAGCTATATATATTAATAATACTAATACTATAATAATTCTAAAGAAAATCGTATAGGTTACGATAATATAAAGAAGGCGTTTATAATATTCGAATTAATATAATACTTATTATTAGTTATATATTTTTATATAATATTACTATTACTTAGATTTATATAAGAGGAATATAACCTATTTATAACTCCTAAAACTCCCGATAACTCTATAGTGACGATAATTTAGGTAGTAACTATTATATATATAACTACTACTGTCGATAGTTACTTGAGTATTATAGGGGAAGTAACTTACCCCCTCCTCCCGGTAAGGTAGCCTAATATCGTCCAGATTGCACGAGAAAGTATTTTGTGCGACCAAGTCCGTACAACGCGGAAACAAAACACCTCAACCTTCAAAGAGCGATATCGCCATCAGGGGTTGAGAAAATTCTGTTCCTTGGCTGTAATATAGAAAGATAACGGTTCCAAGAGATGCCCAGGCGGGAGGCTCAAATTTTCAAGGCTAAGCGTCTCGCCAAGAGCGGTGGCCGAGACCCTAGGGCGACGGTTGCCGGGCCTTGGCAAGCCATCTCACGCGCCAAGGGGTAAAGAGCCTCAGCGGATTCATTAAAGTTTCGGGAAGAATTCAGGCAAAAGAGAATGTTTCGATCTTCGCCCAGGAACTCAACGTCCTCTAACCTTTGCTCTACACTGCTGCTCTTTCTTTGAATATTGAACAGTATCGAAGAACAGGCAAGAAACGAGCAAAGGAAAGCAGGAATTCTCTGGAAAAACTGGGAGAGTTCGGCGTCCTGTTGATGAGTGTTTTTTTACCAGTCCAAGTGCTCAGGTTTCACGACCAGGGGAGGAAGAATGAATACGCTAACGGGGCCCGACATACTAATGGGTTTACGGCGGCATTTGGAATGCACAGACACAGTTGACATCATACACCGCGACCACCGAGTCAAGCAACTTTGCCTTCTCTGCATAATCCGCTATCCAACACGTTCATAACCACCAAAAGTTTACCTGACGGGTGAGCGTATTGCCGCCAATGAGTGAAGCCGCTTACATAACTCAGCACAATCATCCCCGGAAGAGTCCATTGCCCTCATCAGACTTGGGGATCCTCGTCTCTGCATATGCAGCCAACGGAATTGGCATTCGGCCCGTCGGCTGGCTTGGCCCCCTCGGGGGTTATTAGCTTACCCAGAGCCGCAATCGGAACTTCCAAAAGCAGGGTCCGCCCTTCGGCCCTTGCCCGGCGCCTGGAAGGCAGATGCTAAATGCGTAGCTAATGCAAATGTGTCAACCATGGAACTCGAATTCCTGGACAAAGCAGAGGAGAGGAGGGGGCCCACGGGGGAGGACGTCCGTCCGAGATATACAATGCTGCTTATTCGCTGTCCCCGGCCGCGTTCGTCTCCACGGGGAAAAACACAACCCCGGGTCAGAGTGTCACGCACCCCGTTGATATTCGGTGGACCTGGAGACGGATGTGACGGAGAACCACTGAATTCCAGCCAGATACTGCAGAATACTCCAAAGTACCGAGTGAGATTTTGACGTACGCATCCTCTCAGATGACAGATTTACTCCAGTCGTCAGCTGCAAGCCCCAGATTGTTTCCCCCAGAGTATGGGTCTGTGAGGGAGATACGGATTATGGGGGTTTATGGGGATGCTCCGCTTTGATAGACATACTTATGGATTACGACCGCAGTTAGGGTCTCAAATTTTTTCGTCTCTTCTCTCTTCATCCTCGAGAACACCCTTTCTCGAAGAACAAAACATCTCTTCGACAACTCAATTACACCAACTTATCTGAGCTGCTGTAACAGACGGACACACAATGGGTCTTCTCACCATCGTCGAAGAGAGGCCGACGCCGCCCTCGGTCTACAACTGGCGCATCTACGTGTTGGCCGGCATCGCGTCATGTGGATCCTGCATGATTGGCTACACGAGCGCCTTCATTGGCACGACCATCGGTCTCGACTCTTTCAAGGCCGAGTTCGACCTCACCAACAAGACCACCGCCGAGAGACACGTTATCAGCGAGAACATCGTCTCCCTCTTCGTCGCCGGTGCCTTCTTCGGTGCCCTTCTCACCTACTGCCTCAGTCACTTCATTGGCCGCAAGCGTTGTTTGGCCATTGGAGCAACTGTCTTCTCTTTGGGAGCGGCCTTGACCTGCGGCGCCAACGGCAACCTTGGACTCGGAATTCTCTACGCTGGACGTGTCTTTTCGGGCTTGGGAACTGGAGTTGCTTCTGTGAGTCTTCAAGATGCCCCTGGGTGACTCATCTCGGTCATCGACCGGTTCTCCACATGATGGGCAGCAACAAATTGCAGTGTAACAGTTGCTAATACACGTATTTCGTAGAACATTATCCCCGTTTACATCTCGGAACTTTCGCCGCCGGCTATTCGTGGTCGTCTAGTTGGTCTCTACGAACTTGGCTGGCAAATTGGTGGTTTGGTTGGCTTCTGGATCAACGTGAGTTCTTACACAAACCTTCAACATTCAAACTGTATAAATATCACTAACGCGCTGCTCAGTTCGGTGTTGAGAACAGTGTTCCCGTCGGCCGTTCGCAATGGATGATCCCTTTCGCAGTCCAGCTGATTCCTTCTGGTCTCCTCCTGGCTGGATCCTTGTGGATTCGTGAGTCTCCTCGATGGCTCTTCCTCCACGACCAACGCAAGGAGGCCATGGAGAACTTGTGCTGGATCAGACAGTTGGAGCCCAATGACGTTTACATTACCGAGGAAATCGCCGGTATCGACAAGATCTACGAGTCCACTAAGGCCACCGTCGGATTCGGATTCTGGCAGCCCTTCAAGGCCCTCGGTGCCCGTCCCTACCTTCAGTGGCGCCTGTTCTTGGGCTGCATGCTGTTCTTCTGGCAGAATGGTTCTGGTATCAACGCCATTAACTATTACTCCCCAACCATTTTCTCCAGCATCGGTGTTGAGAGCAACACTGTCAACCTGATGACTGGTATCTTTGGTGTTGTCAAGGCCGTCATGACCTTTGTCTGGCTTCTGTTCCTCGTCGATCAGCTTGGTAGAAGAAAGCTTCTTCTCATTGGTGCCATCACCGGTTCCCTCTGCATGTGGGTCATCGGAGGCTACATCTGCATCGTCGAGCCGACCAAGAACCCTCAAGACCACTTGACCGGCAGTGGTATCGCTGCCATCGTCTTCTTCTACCTCTGGACCGCCGTCTACACCCCCACCTGGAACGGTACCCCCTGGGTTATCAACTCTGTAAGTTTATCCCTCTGTGGTGACGTTTGGACCGCAGCTAACAAAACCTCAAGGAATTCTTCGACCCCAACTTCCGTTCCTTGGCAAGCGGTGCAACCACCGCCAGCAACTGGCTGTTCAACTTTCTCGTCTCCCGTTTCACGGAGCAGATGTTCGCAGCCATGGGATACGGCGTTTACTTCTTCTTCGCCGCCCTGTCATTCCTGGCCTTCTTCTTCGCCTTCTTCCTCATCCCCGAGACGAGCGGTGTTCCCCTGGAGAAGATTGACAGACTATTCGAGATCAAGCCCGTCTGGAGAGCCAACGAGACGTTGATGGCCCAGCTGAGGGAAGAGGAGGTACAGTTCCGCACAGACATCAAGGACGAGGTTATTCACAAGGAGCAGGGCACGTCGTCGGAGTCGGACTCCCCATGAAAGATGAAAGAAGCTGCGCTGGCAAACGCAGATATACAAACATGACATGATTACGAACAGTACATAGACATGGAGATAGAACGGCATTTTGATTTATCGCGAAGGGGCATCTGGTTGCGAATACCCGGCATCGAGTTATCTGCAATCCTAAATAAAAGACATTTCTTGCCTCGAACCCACCTGACCGCTTCATGGCGCACTTGATTTCTCATAGCTGATACTGACGAGGATGTCTCCCGCCTTACTCTTCAATCTTGCTCCAAGGGCACTTGCGGCCAAGTCCGACAATCGAACACCGACAGCAACACGACAACATGTCATGGTCTCGACTGTAAGAAACATTCCCTCAGCGCATCTCATTAGCAACTTGCAGTCTTTTTCCCGTGATGCCGAGATTGCCGATACTCAACCGCAGCATTCAGAGGCACCGCAAACTTGTCAGTGGAGCCGTAAGCAAGCACAGCTGGATACTATCGTGGCAATCCCGGTGGCAATGACTATGTGGCGACGGGGCCAGCCCACTTGCCGAGAAACTTCGTGAAATCTCAAAAATCACTCAGTCAGCGACCCAGCGCCCGGATTTTTGCGCTGAACAATAACCAATGACGGCTTATTTCCGGGGTCAGCGCCCTAGGCCGCCCTGCCCGTTTGAAGTTGGTTCGGATCTAACCAGAAGATCAGTTGAACAGGGCTATCCAAGCGGTCGATCAATGCCAAGTACGCCTGCCCCTAAGGAGCAGGAACTACCATTAAGCGGCTGCATGAAAAGGGAATCGTTTTGGTGTTAATTTCCGGCGGGATGAAATTCTCCTAGTGGTGCCGCACATTGTTTCACTCTGCTGTTGAGGTCTACGTCCTTGAAAATTTGGCGCCTGTTAAACCAACTGCCTAGGTACATAAGCACACGCGACTGCAACCGAAAAATGTTCAATTAGATACGAAGCCAGAAAGAATAATTTGTGTTTGTGTTAACGCTTGATTGTGACTCAAGCCTTTTCAGGGTCTCGTAGAACCTAGCGCTCCATTGATTGGTACGACAGCCTGTCTGTCTCTCGAGAGCATTGTGAGACTTGATGATTCTTTGAAGCTCCAGCGCATTACAGCATCCCAAAGCTGCAATCCCTCGTGTTCCAGTACGCCCGATCGGTAGGTCGGATCGAAGAGTTGTTCTGAGAATATTAAGAGTCTTGCACGCCTTGCGAGAGGATTGGGAAATAATTTACGGAGTAGCTCCGAATTGCTGCTCCGATGACTACGGCTGGTGCCGACTGCCCCGCCCCGGTCGGTCGGGGTACGATTCCGGGGGCATCGCAAAAATCGGGATTCGGTTTCCGTGCCAGACTGCCCCATCCGGCCGGCGATATCCAGGCTGGACGACGCACCGCCCACCAAGGACATTGTCATCATCATCATCATCATCATCATCAGCATCATCAATATCGTGCCAGGAAGATATTATTCTCAGTGTGAAAGCTCGCGTCAACACATCCTGTATTCTATCTCATCATCATTTTTGACGTATACCTATGTGTAACAACTGAATCAAATTACAAGAAGTCACGGCCATGTCTATCGTATGTGGCCTGCTCTCCACCCCTATGGATCATCATCATCAGATCCTCTCCATCCGTCGTGGAACACAATGCCGCAATGTCCTGCTGACAAGTCCATACAATACAGTCAAACATGCGATCAATCAACCACATCGGCGTGTCCGTCCCGGACATTGAAGCCGTAGTAAAATGGTACAGCGAAATCATGGGCTTTGTCCTCGTAAACAGAAAAATCAAGCACATCAAGCGCTCCGAGACACCGGACGCGGGAATTTTCAAGATTTACCCAGACTCCTTGGAGGAAGTCAAGTTGGGATTCATGGCGACTGGCAACGGTGTCGGATTCGAAGTCTTCGAATTTGTCGACCCCGCTTACAAGAAGGCCGAAGATTTCGCCTACAACGTGGGCGGCTTCTTTCACTTGTGCGTGACGGATGCTGAACCAGAGGCTCTTCTGGCTCGGGCTATACAAGCCGGGGCTAGCAAGATTGGCGAACCGACACTGAATCCGCTGAGCGGCTCGAGGTGTCTGTATTTCAGAGATCCTTGGGGCAATGTGTTGGAGATTTTGGATATGAGCTTTGATAGGATGAGCGCGCTGGATGCAGTCTGACAACCAACGCCGATGCGGTTGCAATCGCATCTATAGTCTGTTGGACATACTTAGCCTCATGATGTCTGAGAATGAAAGACTAATCTCTATATTAGCTCACCATTGTGAGCGAATACGATGTACCTTGATAATAACGGGACGATCTAATTCTAACAAGTGATTGATCCATAAAGTCTTCTCTACCGGTGAAGGCTACGCCAAGATCCTCCTCATTCACCTCTTCCTGCCTCTTCTTTGGATTGAACGAACGTGAAATCTAGCGAACAGTGGAACAATAACTGCACTCTCGTTGAAAAGGACTAGAACTAATGCAGTGAGCTCGACTGGAGTTCGCTTGTTTAATTTTCCCAGGCTAAACTTGACGCTTTTTGATACAGCCTATGCCAGTGTTCCTGTCCTTCTCGTTGCGGGTCTTAGCAGTTGTATGCCATTTTTTAATGTTCTAAATTTGATCATGTGCTATCCTTGTGTCTTGATTCCTAAGCTCTTTATCCACTCTTTCTCCTCTGGAGTCCTGTCGTATTTAACGTCTGGTGCCAAGTAAGAGACCGAAAAATCAGGCAATGCAAGGAAATCGGGCCTTCCCCGGCGGATATTCTGGGGAATCTGCCCCAGGTTCAGCCCCCACACCTTCGTACTTATGCTTAACGAATACGCTCTCTGGGGATGGTAAGCCATCGGACCAATCGAACACACGCTCGTTTACCGCAGGCACTTGCAGGAGCTATTGATTTGCACTTGTACCGAAGCCATGGGCCTGTATGCCTTGATATGGAAGTCGTTACCGCCCTCATGTTGGTGGTGAGACAGTATGGCCGAGTGTTCTTCTTTGGTAGAATTGTCACAAGCCTGCGTTTACTGTTGCCGAGGTTGTTCATTAAGGTGCTCTTTGACTACCTGTTTTATGCACCACATTTACAATCAACTGAGTGTTACTATAACCATGGTGCTGAGAGTTCTAGATAAAAGTAGCTTTCCTCTGGCAATGCAATCTCATTCAAAACTCAAGAGATGCACTGAACCAGTTACTACTAAGAGCTGCCTTACTCCGAGATTCATGACCAAACAACCAGCGAATTGCCAGCCCGAACCCAACTCCTCACGTCTATCAGGCCATGCTTCCAAACGGCCAAACTCTTCCCCAGACGCCACATTCCAACGAGAAACGAACTGCGGGATGACATGCGGGGAAACATGGGTGTACCCCTCGAAAACGATGTGTCGTGGTTACATGAAATTTCGGCTCCGAGTGTTTAGGCACAGCCTATACGCGTATAAGTGCGCGATTCTGGTGCGTTCCCAAATACGCGGGTGATGACGTCGCAAGGTTGGTGAGGTATTGAAGACACCATGGAAGATTTTCGCCTTCTGCCAGTCTAAAGCAGAGTGTATCACTTTGGATCCGAGTATTTTTGTCAGGGAATTTTAAGCTAGTGAGAAAGTGATGTCAGGTGGTACACCCAATTGCGGTGACATGTTCTCTGATCTGACTGTATGTGTAAGCTCCTCGCGGCGAAGTTAGGTAAATGTTTTTCGAGATCGTTAAATGCTACTACGCTTTGTCATTTCACTAACATTTGGAAGAAGTCAACTTCTCAGAAAGAAGTTTAGATGGGATACAAAATGGAATTAAACATAAGAATCTCCCCAAAAGTTTGCATCACAGTCACAAAAGTGAAATGCTCGGCGACCTAACCACGACTTGATCACTACCCCGAAATACCGAGTGTCACTACGAAGACTTTTCCCCGCCTCGTCGTCTGTACGGTCGATCTCTATCCTAGTCTAAAGTGCATCGGCCCGATATTCATATGTAGTTAACCTCGTAATCCTCCAACTACGTTGCGTACCTTGCTACCTTTACATGCAAATCACCAGACGATGACTGCCTGGCCCGGTTTCCTCTCTGGCAAGAGTGACCCAGCCTTTCAAAGCCTGTTTTCGGTATATAAGGGGACATCTGACGAGTATAAATGAACTGGCTCCAACTCCCCTATTCAGAGCAGGGAAACTCATGACCATGGGAACCTCGCGCTACCCGGCGTATCGTACCTTCAACAACCGTCACCAGGATCATCGCCAGCCATGCTATGGACATCCCTCCTCCTCCTCTTCGGAGCCCAGCTCAGCCTCACCAGCCAACTTCACCACCGATCCTCCAACAATGGTTCGTACGCGCTATAATACCCCATCAATCTCCTCTACTCGTCCACACCTCAAATCTCCACATACCATGTCGCTAACCCAAACACAAGGCACACGAGACAGATCCACTGCCCTCGCCCTGGCAAACACTCTCATATCCCGCCTCACCCTCGAAGAAAAAGTCTCCATGATCACGGGAAACTCCTCCGCGGGCAACTGCATCGGCGTCATCGCGCCCATCCCCCGCCTCGGCTTCAAGGGGATCTGCATGCTCGACGGCCCCAGCGCCGTCAACCGCGCCGACCTCGTCAGCGTTTTCCCTTCGGGTATCACTGCGGCCGCAACGTGGGACCGTGAGATGATTTATCGTCGGGGATTTGCGATTGCGGAGGAGTTCAAGGGGAAGGGGGGGCACGTGATTCTCGGGTACGTCTAGTCTCATTCATCCTCCCTCGATGAGAAATACGTGACAAGGTACCGTCACATTGACACCGCCTCCCGAACAGTCCTTCCACAGGCCCAATGGGTCGCGCAGCCCTAGGCGGCCGCAACTGGGAAGGCTTCGGCCCGGACCCGTACCTAGCAGGCATCACCATCGAGCACACAATCACCGGCATGCAATCCGCCGGCGTCCAGACATGCTCAAAGCACTACATCGCCAACGAGCAAGAGACGCAGCGCTCCAACACGACGGTGAACGGCACGGTCATCGAGGCCATCTCGTCCAACGTCGACGACAGGACCGTCCACGAGCTCTACCTCTGGCCCTTCGCCAACGCCATCAGGGCCGGCACGACGTCCATCATGTGCTCGTATAACCGCTTCAACCAGACGTACGCGTGCGAGAATGGTCACCTGCTGAAGGAACTGTTGCGAGATGAGCTTGGGTTTCAGGGGTATACTGTGTCGGATTGGTTTGCGACGCATTCTACCGCGGACTCTATCAACAACGGTCTGGATCTTGAGATGCCGGGCGCTGTGCCGGGGAACTACCCCGGCGCCGCCACCTTCTTCGGCGACAAGGTCCTCGAGGCTGTGGCTGACGGCACCGTCCAGGAATCCCGCATCGACGAGATGGTCCGCAACATCCTAACGCCGTATTACCTCCTAGGCCAAGACGCAGAGTCCTACCCCTCACCCGACCCATCTCTCCGCTTCGTGACCCTGTTCCAAGAAGTCGGGCTGCAAGTCGCCAAAGACGCGGGCTTCATCCCCGACGGCTTCGTCTTCACCCACGGCCGCGACGTCCGCGGCGACCATGCGAAGCTCATCCGCGAAATGGGCTCCGCCGGCACAGTCCTCCTGAAGAATTCGAACCAGACCCTCCCCCTGTCAAAGCCCAAGATCATCGGCGTCTTCGGCAACGACGCAGGCGAGATGACAAACGGCTTTCTCCGCCCCTCCGAGGTCCCCGAGGACACGAACACAGGCACAATGATCATCGGCGGAGGGTCCGGCACAGGACGCCCGTCCTACGTGATCTCCCCTCTCGCCGCCGTCCGCGCCAAAGCGGCAGAGTACGGCGCGGAAGTACTCTACGTGACCAACAACGACGTCCTCGCGGCCAATGATTTTCGTGGTGTATACCCCCCGCCCGAAATCTGTCTCGTGTTCCAGCAGACGTTCGCCAGCGAGAGCTTCGATCGCACGTCGTTCGAGCTCGACGGGAACTCGACGGCTGTCATCAACAACGTGGCTGATTTCTGCGCGACGACGGTAGTGGTAACGCACTCGGGCGGTGTAAATACCATGCCCTGGGCAAACCATACCAAGATTGGCGCAATCCTAGCGGCGCATTACCCAGGCCAGGAGAGCGGTAACTCCATCGTCGACCTACTTTGGGGCGACGTCGCGCCTTCCGGCAGGCTGCCGTACTCCGTCCCACGCAACGAGGAGGACGCTGGTCCCGCGATTGTGAATCTCACGCAGCCTGTCGTTGACCCGCTTGCATGGCAGGCTGATTTCAGCGAGGGCCAGATGATTGATTACCGCCACTACGACGCGCTTGGAATCGAGCCGTTGTACGAGTTCGGTTTCGGGCTGACGTACACTACGTTCGCCGTGGTCGACAACCAGGTCGGTGTGGGTTTTATCGCAGGGAACTCGTCCATCGCTGCGCGCCCGGACGCGGCTATCCCGGTTCAACCTGGCGGGCATCCGCAGTTGTGGGAGGACCTCATCAGCGTCAAGGCCTCCATTTCGAACACGGGCAATAGGACTGCATTTGCTATCCCGCAGCTTTACGTCTCCTTCCCGTCGTCTGCTCCCGAAGGCACGCCGAAGAAGGTCCTGAGGGGCTTTGAAAAGATTCAGATCGAGGCAGGTGGCTCGGCTGAAGTGGAATTCTGGCTGATGAGGCGGGATGTGAGTTTATGGAATGCATCGGATAAAGTGTGGGTGATTCCAAAGGGCGAGTTTACGTTCCGGGTCGGCTTCAGCTCAAGGAATTTGCCGGCGGAGAAGGCCTTCTCGGTGCTGGAGTGATGTATGAGGACAGGGTGGTGATGTCGAAAGTATGTGGCGAAGACCATTTTCTTTTGTCCAGAGTCAAACCAGTGATCCTTCTTGCCCGCAAGATAACTGACGTTCAGCTATCAAGCTGGCTAGTGGATTAGTGGTCGGAGGACTGGTGGTACCTTGGCGCGAAGTCAGTAATTATCAGATCTGTGGATGGATATGTCAGATCTGTTAGGAAGTAGAACATTAAACCAATTCATCTTCATTCTTGTGGCGTTTCGTTTCTCGGCTCTCTCGAGCCTGACGAAGTTCGTGTTGCACAACAATAATGGTAGAGGTTAATATTGTTCAGCCACAACAAGACTTTGGATACAGTGTCGAAGAGGATGTCATTCCCAGCTGCAGCTCTATTCTGCTTCAGCCACTCAGGCCACGGAGCTCGACTCGTCTTGCTTGCAGGAAAGCGCACGGGGCGATTTGAGGTTCGAGGGGTGATTGCACAATGGCGATTGTGGTTGCACATGGCCAAACTCATACTCGAACGCAGACAAAGAAATCAGGCACACGGCGGATCATGTCTGAGAGTAATGACCACCGCCCTCGAACTTGGTCTTTGATCCCCTGCGAGTTTGTGGCACCTAAGAAGTACGTGATCCGAGAATAAATGTTGGCGTCCGCACGTCTCACTGGATCGAGGGAAACGTTTCTGTCTGGGTAGCATTCTGCAAGATTCACATTCGAGCACGTGAGTCGCAAAAGATTTCATCCGAGAAGATCATCAACTTACGACGGCTAAATATGAAAGCACGGAGCCAAGCACGGCTGGTCGACTACTCTGACAGCGAGGATGAAGCAAAATCAGAAGTTGTAGCCACGCCATTGGCTACTGGGCCACCAGATGAGGAAGGGTTCGCTCAAATAGTCATTGGACTACAGCAAGAGTACACAAAAGAAGTCCGGGAGTTGCAGGCGCGACAAGAAGCAACAGATCGAGAGATGGCGGTGCATGTGAACCAAGTCAATAGGAGGTTGGAAAAGCACCTCAACGTCTTGACTTCAGTCGTCAAGGTAAGTTTTCTGTCGTACCTGAATGTCCCTACAGAGGCCTAGCTGGTTCGCTTGGTTATCTTTGAGGTGATATCGGCTATTGCATTGGATGTGCTGACTGGTAATAGGAAGTTTTTGGAGTCGATCCACTAGATCCGGCAGTGAGACATTGCGCGCAGCAAGATGGCAGTAAAGAGGACCATGAGAGAGGTGCAGTTCTCCCATCGCCATCTCCAACACCACCAGTGCCCGCTGAAAGATGTGATGTGCCGCCACCAGGACGGGAATCCATCACAGTTGCGTCCAGAGTTCGGAAACCCGGTCCTCGGATTCCCCATGAGAGTCGAGAGTCACAACCAGCGGCCCCTGGGGCGTCACTACCGGTGGTAAGAAGAAGCACTGGCAAAAAAGCGCCTAAGCCGCGGGTAGTTGCGTTGAATCGACGTGCAAATCAGCCTCTGAAGAAAAGAAGGAGACAGAATGACGATACCAATGACAACAAGGACCACCAGGGGGAGGTGTTGGAGGTGGAGCCAGAGGCACTGGGACCCAGATCTCCCGAAGCCGAGCAAGTCACAGACATTGCTGTCAATGAAGCTATAGCTCGCCGTAAAGCGTCTCGACAAAACTTGCTATCCCCAAGAGACCCTGTCAACCCGTACGATGACCCGAAATACTTCAGCCCACTGACCGTCGTTGGCAAGGATGGAGTTCTGCGGCCAATATTCAAGTTCTACCCGCACCCGCCGACAGTCGAAGAGCAATGGGCAGAGTATAAGTACGGTCTCCACGGTCAGCAGCCTGTCGAACTGCTGGAGAAGATGTACCGGGCCAAGTGGCGAAACGGCACGTATGGGCGTTCGTGGTTCACTCGCCGCAAGGCCTTCTGGGACAAGATGAAGGGGTTGCTGGATCAAGGTCGTACGGAAGAGGAAGCGTTGGGCGTTATGAGAGACCTTGGGAGTGGCAGCGTGCCTACTGCAGTTGCCATTTTATGCAAAGAGCGTGGAGAGGGAACACGCCCAGGGAGACGAAAGTCTCGGGGCCAGTCGGTCTACTCGGTATGCGGCAGTAAACATTCGCGAGATGAGAGCTCCAGCAACGAAGAGAGCAGCAGCAGTGAATCGGAGAATGGCGAAACGCCGAGACCCATCCGATATAGTCCATCGAGGCTGCGGAAACGAATTGTGGTGTCTATGGACAGCGTGAGCGGTAGCGACGAGCCTGAGTCTGCGCTGTGCCCTGGACAAGAGACCGATGGTTTGTGGGAACCTAAGGCTGACTGATTGATTGAGTTGTAGCATCGTTCGTCAAGCTCGCTTTAACGTAGTTCGATCGCACTGAGGTTATATAGTCGCAGTATTGACTAGCTTCAACACGTAGAGGTAACAAGCGGGCTCGCTTTTGAAACCAGCAGACTTCTGTAGGAATAGTAATGGTGAAGTAGTCCCGATGAAGACGGTGATGAAGCCTCCATAGCTATAGGCTCACTGCGAAGAGAAAGCGCTTGCGATTTGGAAGTCATTCTAGTCTGAGCACCGCTGCCCCCAAACTTTGGGTATAGTTGCCGGCGACGATGGGTCATCGTGAGGGTGTCAAAGATGGACCCCGATGTGAAATGGCCACTCAGCCAATTTCTACGCAGAATTGAAAGCTAATCTCACCGAGGTAAGGCGGCACGAGACCCAGGTCAACTTGACCGGCATCATAGCTTCCAGGTAATTCTTTGCTGGGGCTGCTCCAGCACAGGACGCGCCGTAGACATCTTTTGACGAGACTCCGAAGTAGGGTGGACTGGGGATGAGCAACATTCTTCGGGTTGTGTGAGTTTGGCTCCAGATAAACCTCTGAGGGGGCGAGAGCATGCCGAACAATGCCTTGCTATCCAAGCGCGGGCTCGTCTGGGAGACTTTCGTCCCAGACGGCGACGAGGAGACGAAAAACAAGCTTCTGTCTTGGAATCAGCTGGTCCCAAGTTTCACAACGACACATGGACCGCAGCGTGAGCCAGTCGGGAAAATGAGGAATCCTAGGTAGCCGGCGGGTAGGCTTTGTGGCTGCACGGTGTGAGTCGTCGACTCTGCCCTCGACACGACGTCGAAAAGGCATGGCACTGAATAAGGTAGGCGGCGATGTCGTGTCGTCGTCTTGAAAGCGAATCCAGGCCGACGGAACAGTGGGAACCTAGGAGAGACCCTGGATTACTCCGTAGGGGGTCTAAGTACCTTGTTATCAAAAAAAGTTAATTCTTTCTAAGTCACAAGTATAAAAATATAGTTTTAATAAAACAGTATAGTACTTATTTAGTATTTAAATTAAGATACTTTTTTAAGCTTATTATAAAAAAAAATAATTATATTATTAACTACTTATTATTAAGGTTTATAAGTAGTACTATAGTTTTAATTATAATAGCTTTATTTATAATAAATAAAAAGTCTAATTATAAATCTTTTAAAAGCCTCTTTTTAAGAGCTATAAGAGCCTCTAAGTATATTAAGTTAAAATACTTATTAAAATATTAATAACTAAACTAACCTTATAATAATAACTTTAATAAAAGACTTAATAAATAATACTAAAAGCTTTATTAATATTAAATACGATTTATAAAATATAATAACGTAATTATAGAGTATTATTAATATATTTTATATTAAAAAGGGTATTATTAATATTAATAAAATAGATAGGGCTATATTAATATAATACCTCGGCTTTTTCTTATAGCTCAAAGATAATTATTTTAAATAGTATTAAAAGTTTATTAAAAAGCTCTTTTAAATATTTTAATATATTTATTACTATTTTTATAATAATAAGACTCTTAATATTTATATATAAAAATAAGTTACTTATTTTTAAATAATAATATTAGCTTATTAATAAGCTATTAAAACTATAATTTTAGTAATTTTTTAATAAGGGAGAGGGTAGAATAGAGGAAAGGATAGGTAAAAAAAGGGTTAAAGTTAAATAGTACGGAATTCGAGGGCAGGGTAGCGTCTATATGTACTGCGGCAATCCTCTAGTAATATAAAACAATAGAGTTAAACAGTGCTCCGTAGGGGGTCAACGGTGTCAACCACGTTTTAAGCGTGGGATCCCTGACGGAGGAGATCCGTAAGGCCCCGGAAAGTGGTGTGATCTCTTTGGAGTCGAGGAACCGTCCTGTTCGCAATGACTGGGGGCACCCTGTTGGAGAAGGCGATTTTGGTGTGTCTGCGGGAGCGGTAGCGACAAAGTGGGAGTGGTAGTGGGAGACATCCGCAAGCAAGCGGACGCAGGCGTTCAGGAGTTTGATGCCTGGGGAAAACCTCTGTGTGCCTGAGGCCGAAGGTCACGCGAGGTGTGGGACCAGGTGTCCAGTCTCCGTTGGATATTAGGTAAGCAGGGAGGACAGCGACATGATCGAGTGCCGGTAACAAAGCATTGTCGGTATTGCTTTGAGGCTCGAAAGGTCAATGAAGGAATGGAATTGACCTGCATGAATAGGTAGGTATTAGCAATACTCCGTAGAAGTTGACAGCAAAAGAAGGGAGATGCCAAGACATGCATAACCTGGCCAGATTGCAAACAAACACGTCGATCCGGATCTGCCATAGCGTGATAAATTGGATCATTTCCCATAACCAGACCGCTCGCACTGCTATGTGGTCTGGCCCTCGTGACCGCCGTGTTTCCGTCTGGCAAGCTTCTCCCGTCGACAATTCAAGCCAAATGGCAGTCGGGATGGGTAGGTAATCGCGGTGTAAGTTTGGAGTACTGCGGCGACAGTCTGTTAGTCCTAACGTAGCCAAGGTGCCAAGCCACCAAGATGGCTGTATAAAACTGGCAGACCTGCCACTGAAGCAATGCACTTTCCACATTGGACGCAACTGTAACCATTTCCAACTCCTAGTCGAGGCGGTGGAGAAACAAAGTCTGAGCAAGATTGAGTCAAAACTTGGGAGTTCCATTGATGTCAGTCAGCTTGGATGGAGGTGTTGGGTGAGGGACGGCAGCGTCAAGGGGCGGAAGGGAGGCGGCGCGGGGATCTGCCAATCATTCGCTTCCAGCCCTCCGAGGGTGGATCCCATGTGTACGTCTCTGCACTATCCCGAATTGGGATACCCCTCCATCCACCGCCCCCACTCTTTTATCTTTTGTTCTTTTTTCACCTTTCTCACCTTGGGCAGCCCACCGCAGGTGAAGGTCTTGCTCCTCTTCCTCTGTGCTCCCTTCTCTGCCGCTTCGAATTCCTCACTGCACCATGGCTGCGACGCTATTTCATCCAATGTGTCCTCGCCGACCACCATCAACACTACCAAGTGGCTAATCAACAAGACAGTTTACCCTTCGGCCCTAGCATCCCGATCGGTTCGTTCGTTCGCAGACCATGCGTTGTCACCCAACCTCGTCCACGCCAAATTCAGGGTAGTTACAGCCAAGCCTCCAGACAGCTCAATGATCGCCGAGGAACGGGTGCGCTTCCGGCAACGTCATTCCTCCGATACCACCGCCGTCCCCCGTTGCTATTGCAAGTGCAGGCTGGTCTGTTGTCACGACTCAAAGATGCTATCTTCACCTCAAAGACTTGTTCCACGATGGAGGTGGCCTTCGAACCCGGGAAGCTTCATCGACCTTTTCGAAACCCGTCCGAGATACGTGTACAGAATATTCCAATTTCTTCCAGCGCATACGCAGACGCACGAACCCACAAAGCAGACAAGCAATAAGGTATTAGGCTCGATGTAGGTATGCATGTATGTACGTATCCTGCCGCGCATGGCAGCAGAAGCATCTGGATGACAAGGACCTCGGGACAGCAACAATCAATAAGATGGGATTCCGCCCACACTCAAATCCCCATGGGCACCCAAGGCCCATCTTTTCTTATTGCCTACCGGTATTTTACTTGCTTACACTTCCTTCACACCTTTCCCCCATCCGCATCCGCTTCTCACAGACTGAACCAAGTCACCAAACCCCCTCCACTCGCCGCATCCGGATCGTCAAAAGGGGGCCCCTTCGTTGTCGGAGACTCTCGAAGCCTGGGAGTCCCTGACACGGTGGGTTCTTGGTGGAGTGCATCGGAGCGGAAAACCTGGGGGAATCTTGCTACGCCACGCGCCCGTCTCATCTAAATATCTCTTTTTCTTCTCGGCTTTCTCCTCCTGCAAGCCCTCCCACCTCTCCCTCGTCAAACCCTGCGTGCTCATCTACCTTAACCTCGCTGGCATGTGTCGCTGTCGCTGTCGCTGTCGCTTCGCCAAGTAAAGTGACTGCTTTACATAAGGTCACCATCTCGCTTTCATCTTGCTCAGCCTCCCCCGCCAACCACCTGTTGGTTGAGACAGGTCTGGGCACACGTCTCTCACTCTGTATCTGTCTCTTTTATTTCGTCTCGTCTAGAACTTTTCTCGTCCGGCCACAGACTTCAACGCTGTCTCACTCCGGCACATAACCCCGCCTAATCAAGATCTAATATCTCACTCACCTTTCCACCTCCCTTCCTTCGACTTGACGACGACTCCTAATTTCTCACCCGCTCAACCACCGCTCACCGGTTCCTCTCACACAATGGCTTCGTCTTTGTCATTACTTGCCCTCCCTGATGAAGTCTTGCTTCAAATTGTCGGCCACCTGACACCGCCGCTCGATGGCCTCGACATTCCATTCCAAGCCTACACCGATCCAGATGGCGTCGTTGTCACCAACCGCGTCGCCCTTTACCGCCTCGCGTTCGTGTGTCGCCGGCTCTCGGACCTGGCAATACCTTTCCTCTACCAGACAGTCTATCTATGGGGCCAGACACGGCTTCAGTCCCTCCTCCAGACTCTGCTCGAACGCCCAGAGCTGGGCGACAACATGCGCATCCTCTCCTACGTCTCTTGCTTAGGCACCGATCACTATCCGACGGACGTACTCTGCCCGTACAAGCGCACCGAATGGCGCCGCCTCGTGGAAGCCTCGCCCCGATTCCCGGACCGCATCAAGGCATTTGTGCGTGACGCCAAGACAGAGCTCGAATTCGCCCAGATTGTGTTTGCGCTCATCCTCTACTCGTCACCAAACCTACGCACCCTGCACATGCGCATGCCTTTCGCCGCTGGAGAGTACCAGAAGCTCAAAGCTATTCTCACCCCCGACATCGAAACCGCCGAGGGCTGCCCGCGCGTCCTGAGCTCCCTCACCCGCGTCATGCTGGAGCCGATGCCGGACTTTCCCGGCGCAAGCTTCTGGCCGCGCCGCGAGTTGCCGTGCCTTTTGCGACTACCCAACCTGCGCTCCGTCGAGCTCGGTTCAGCCGTGTATCGTCCTGCCGTTCTGGAGCCCGGTGATGGCTGGGGTGACGACGGTAGCTGGAAGAATGTCGAGGAACTCCGACTTGTTCGGAGCAGCATGTGGGGCCAAGGATGGCACGCAATATGCGCCCTTTGTCCCAATCTCAAGCTCCTCGAGATGGGTCCCAGCGGTGTAGCCGAACAGCCTGCCGACGGTGAACACAACCTGAATACGGCTTTGTCTCTGGTGGCCGATACCCTCGAGACCTTTTCGTTCGAGGGGATATTGGCGGGCAACTTTTCGCAACACGTTGGCGGAGATGGCACACTGACGGTACTTCCCAAGATGAAGTCGCTGCGCAACGTCAAACTCGACATAGGAATCTTGTACGGGAAGCCTCAGTGGGTTGAGAAGATTGACATAATCTCGCGACTGCCGCCGACGGTCGAGGTTCTGGACTTGGCGGAATTGTGGCATGATATCGAGGTCGACCAGCTATCCGCAAAGGAACGCACAGTCTACGAAAAGGGCCTGCAGGACGCTTTGTATAAACTTGTTTTCGAAAGCAAGGCCATCTTGCCCAAGTTGAAGGAGGTGACTTTCCGCCCGAATCCTTTTTACGATCCACTACCGATCCCGGAGACTCTGAAGGCCATCAAGTCGGATGTCGAATTCAAGCTCGTCTACTAGTCGTAAGCAGGAATTGTGTTTTTGTTCAGGGTCATCAGCATGATTGGGAAACCCCGTATTAGCGAGCTCGGAGTCATGGACATGCATTGGGCGGTACATTTGCGAGCATATAGCATTTAGAGCATCTTGACGCAAAACTTAATGAAGCGATGTCTACTCTACCCGGCGCCCACGCCTTGGATATCGTGAACCATTAACCCCCCCGTCGCAACTCGACAGAATGACGAGGCAGCAATCTAGTACACCGACCACCTCCGACTCCGTCCACCTTCACCAAGATACCCCTTCCCACCACCAACCTCATCCGCAAACCTCACCGACCGACGTCGCCCCGTATTCGCCTCCGGTCTACCATGTCCCTTCTCATACTCCCTACAACACTCCCGATCCCCCTCAGGAACCCTCTTCTCCCGACTCCAGCTCTCCCGCGAAACATACCGAAACGGCTTCCCCTTGTCCAACCTAGGAACCTCAACCTCAACCTCGACCCCGCTCCTCCGCAGCCGCCGACGTCCGCGATCCTCGATAAGCCCGCTCACCCGCCGCTGGCCCAACGACTCGTACTTCCGCAGCAACCCGACGTACTTCACCCAGCAATCCGCCAGCACCTCGGAGCTGAACTTGATATCGTCCGCTTCGAGCGCCATCTCCGCGATGCGTCGAGTCCAGTCACACTCCCGCTGGTGGCCCCGCTGGCGCTCACAGGACCGCCCGTGCGCGGCATCGTGGCGCCGGCGTTCGCGGTCTACTCGCAGCCGCGCTTTTTCGATCTCGGTTTCTGCGTGGAGGAGGACCCCGCCAATGTCGACGAGTTCAGAGATTGCGAAGCGGAGGTCGGCGGATTCGAGGGCGTGGAAGTCTGGGGTCCGGTCGAAGATGCGGATTGTGCGCCAGCGGGGGCGGGGGGAGGTGTAGGGGTAGTGTGGTGAGTAGGGGTATGTGTGGTCGTTTGTGTAGGAGTGTGAATACGAGTATGCGGCGCGGGAGGTGTGTTGGGGGTAGTAAGAGTGCCGGGCGGTGGTGGATGATTCGGCGTATTGGTGGTAGTCTGTCGGTTGGCGGCAGTAGGCTGGGCAGCGGTAGAGGATGAGGTTGAGGCTGCAGCAGGCGTGGGAGGGGCAGGGGCGGGAGTTGGTTGGTGTTGAGGAGCGGTGATAGTAGGAGGAGGAGTGAGAGGAGGAGGAGGAGGGGCGGCAGGGACAGCGTGGTGGTGTTTGGTAGGGGTTTATGTAGAGGGTTGCTGTTGATGTTATGGTTGGGCGGACGTCGCACGACATTGTGTGCGAGTGGACTTTGTAGCACATCGTCGAGGTTCTTTGATAGGTTGGGGCAGGAGGCTGATATTGATGGTTCTTGGCCTTTGAAGGACAGAGGGGGCTTTCGTCTTCGTGATGGCAATATGTGTGCGGAGTATCTTGGATATGATGAGATGTGTATATGCTCGAGAATACGGAGTTGCAGAAGAGCCGGTGGTCAGGAAAGGACATGAAATGATTAACGTCATGGCAGAAACGGGCATTCAAAGATTTTGTTCCCATTTAATCTCTTGTTTCCCTCCATGCGTGGATGAACCATTCTTGGCCCTCCACATTGGTGACAAAGGGTATGTGTTCTGGTAGAACGTTATTCAAGTGGCTTTGAAAGAGTGGTCTTTTACCGCCTCAGTGACGAAGAGTGAGTGAGAGTGAGGATGAGGGTGAATGCTTCTTTGTTGGCTTGAACAGTCTACCCTGGTCGTGTTTCTCTGCACCACCCACCCACACCCCTCTTGACAAGAGTGAGGTAGACAAGCCTGTCGGAAGTTGAAACATATCTCCAGCCCCGTTCCTACCTGGTCGAATTCTCTTTTCGAGGAGAGCTTTGTGGAATCATTCTTTCTTGGAAAATGACGAGGTGCAGTTCTTCTTGATGTGCATCTGCGCCGCTTCGCTTGCTGGCATATCTCCGCTACTCCCATGCTATTTTCCCAAAGATTATCTCCATTCGAACGACCTTCCGTGTGATAGAGTATGCTGTGCAGGCACACAATGGGACTTTGTTTATGCCTCTTTAACAAGCATGCATTTCGCTTTTCCGGTTTCCACGTGATATCAAGATGGCTGTAGAAACATCGAGACCTCATCCCTGTGAGCTGTACACCATCGCAAGCTCGAAAGTAAGCCACGCCTTGACTTTCGTCTTAACAATTGGTCACGGGTAGACTATGGTAGCGCTCACACACACGATGGCATTTGTGTACGTATACTTCTTGGGTTCGGGCCGTTCCATGATTAGGGTCGGAATCCGAAGACCAACGGCCCAGCCAAACCTGCAGATGCAGCCCGATCGTTTGAAGCCTGAGAACCTGAATGTGAACCCCCCCCCCCCCCCCCTGTTCTTGACTTGGGCGGCTCGGCATTAGTTCAGGGTCCAAACCAACGGAGCCGGAAAGCATGAACTCGGCTCCCTCTAGAATCAGCCGGAAGACTCAACTGTGAAATGATTTGAGGCGGAGAAAATGTGTATTGTAAAGAATTTTCATCGCAGTAATTTCTTTCTTGATTAAATTTCTATCTTTGATGACTTGAGGCGTTTTTTCAACACTTCCATTTTCAATCTCTGTTGGCCTCATTTATCTCATTCCCCCTTCAATATTGGCAGCCTCCAATATCTCGAACTACGATGCCCCCGACAAGCAGAAAACCAGGGGCAAAACTCCCCAGACCTCGCCAAAGTACCAGAAGCCTCCCTGGCCAAATCATGTGGCTCCCACCCCAGCATCAAATACCCGCCGGCATCGACCCCAACCTACAAGAAGGAGCATATAACCACCCCGTGGTCATCATGTCTAGAATTCCTTCACCCGAAGGCCTCGTTCAGATATTCATGGTACGTTTCACTCATCCTAAATTAGGTACTCCGGATTGCATGCTCACCGTCCCCATAGATCACCTCCATGGGCTCCCGCGGCATCGCGCAAGCCCACAGGCCAGACTGGGCCCACTGGCTTAAATACGTGCCCATCAAGCCAGCACAACACCCGGCCATGCCCGACACCCAGCTCTGCTTCCCCGACAATTGTCTTCCGCTGGCGAAGAATTCATATGTGAATATTCGGCAGTGGCACTCTGTGCACCTGGAGGCGTTGCGGCCGTATCGACTGAGCGGCGGTGAGCCTCCTATTCTTGGAGGAGCTTCGTTTAAGAGCTTGAAGGAAGTTGCTGCATTCGTTGATCTTTATGATCCCAACACCTCGAAGAGATTGAAGGAGGCTTCTTCATTCGAGGATCTTCACGATCAGACGAAGAGATCAAAGAGATTGGAGGAGTCTGAGAGTCGGGATGGTTCTGGCCCTCTGCCGGAGATGGAAGACTTGGAAGTTGATCTTTGGGAGACTGAGCAGTCTGATGTATACATCAGCTTAGCTAGTCTGATGTTGCTTGTACTTCTTGCGGCGGTCTTTCTTCACCTGTATATCAAATCAAAGGCATGATCGATGGTTGAGCTCAGGTGGACCTATGTTTCAACAGCTTTATCGTACCTTGGTTGCCTTCAACTGAGTCTTTCTCATCTGTAAATTAGACTGAATCCCATGCATCCTCTCGAAGAGATGATGACTTTAGAGTCTGATCTTGAACCTCAATGATAACACCCATCCGCCGAATATAGGCTTGGCTCGATGAGGCTGAGAAACATGTGACAGATAAAACAGATCCAAGTTTCGTTCAGATTGAGGCTAAAAGATCCAGACCTTTTAGAACCTCAGCACAAGGGCAACCGCATCCGGTGAAGTCCTCGTCTTCGGCAGCTCAACCTCGTCTCATCTTCTAATAGCACACTCAATCCAGCGAATGTATCTCATGGGACAAAATCCCGGATGAGCAATGTTTCGACAATCAGGTGTCTTCAAAATGTTGGACCATTTTGAGAGACAGACTGCGTGTCTTTGACGCCGATGCAATCTGGCCTAGTCTTACAAAAGCTGCCAGAGAATAGACAATATACCTAACATGTTCTAGAAAACCCCCAAGACACCGCGCAGCATAGCTATTGTGCCGACTATCCATTTGCTTCAACTAAGTCGCAGAGGCCAGGCCTCCATCACGACAAATCCTTCGTTCGGGCTTCAAATCTCACCATGTTCGGCGTTCAAAATGGCGTGGCAACTCAAACCAAGCGTTCGGAACTCCGAACCTGCTCAATGCAGTCCAACAGCGACCCAAAACGTGATTCCTACGGCGCACCAGAGACATGTCTCTGTTTCTCAAAACGCAGATAAGGCGGAGGTAAGAAAAAAAAAGGACCCTCGCAAACGTCCATCATCCCCTTTTACGAATTCGACCAGAGGAATCGCTTCATCACACGCGCCGCATCACACACGTCGCATCACACACGTCGCATCACCACTTTGCCGAGCCGTTGGCGAGAAACCACTTTAGCGCTGCTCCGCAATCGTATTTGAACGGCAATTGCTGCACTACGCGGCGCTACGCAGCCGTTAACGTACACACTCGCGCGAACGATGGTCCGCGGGCTGTTCCCCTTTCGGCCTCAAGTGAGACATCGCACTCGCAGCTCTCGCACTCGCCTAGCTAGGCGGCTCCGCTGTGAACGTGGGCGAGACAGATGCGTCATTCGCATGTGTGTTCTCAGTTCTTGTGGTGTACGAGACATCGAGAGACTCCCCCGGAGCATGCCATTGGCCGGGATCAGGATGTTCTTGTAGAAATAAGGGGTTGGGAGACGTGCCGGGCCAGCCTACAAAAAGGGGGTCCTCATCTCCAGCTGATGATTACTTCGGCAGACGACACTCAGATTACCTATCCAATCACTCTTAATCTCACAGCCATCATGACGGAATACAAGCTCAACATCAAAATTGACCAGAACATGGTTAAGAAGTTCAAAGCCGGCGGTCTTAGATTATGCCTTGGCTTCGGCTTCGACACGACTGCGCGGCCTGGGTCTACCAAGTTCAACGTCATCGGGTACTCTTCAGGTATGAACTTGAATGGGAACCCTCCTTCATACCAAGGTTGAAGTTAGACTAATATGATGCAATAGTCTGCGCTCGAAACTTGACTGTGTCGTGGGTAGACGATTACTCCATTGCAGGAACAATGAGCGCCTTCTCAAGCGGAGGTGCGTTTACTTTCCTTTGATAATAGCCCATCTGAAACTGTTCAAGACCACTTCCTAACGGGAATCCCACACAAACAGTCAAATTCGACGTCGCAACAACCCAACAGCCCATCACGTTTGGCGAATCATGGACCCTCCCACCAGACTGGACCGACGGCGTCACCACCATGGACGAAACCGCCCCCGCCAACGGCTTCCTCTTCAAGAACCTCGCCTCTTCCGCATCGGCAGTCATCTACAAGACCGTGAACGGAGTCGAGGCCCCCGTCCACGTCAGCCAGTTCGGCCCGCTCCCGCCCGGCTCCGAGACGCTGACGCCCAAGCCGCTGGCGGCCGTGTGGTTTCAGCCGTCGGCGGAAACAGGCGCCATGGTAGACAAGATACACGATTCTTCGCTCAAGGTTCTTGATTTTGAGGATGTCACGTCGCATGAGATTGAGTATGGCCCTTCTGGGTCGTGGACTGTTGTTGATTAAGGTAGTGATTATCGGTGGCTGGGATGGGTGTTGTCAAACATAGCGTGCTTGAGATGGGATGCCAATACCCCAAATAAACAGACTTCAGATGAACGTACTCATTCTTGGCGTGCAAGAGACTATCGACTGTGGACATGTATGCCGAATTCCGACCGTCCTTGTGAGACCGTTTTCTTTTGCTCTTGTATGTACAACGAGCCATTATTCCCGATTATGTCTTCCTCTTTCCCAAATCCATAGTTGATTACATGATTTTATAATCAACCTCCTTATTGAGTTGAATGTGTTGGCGGCCAGTGCTGAGCTGTGGCTACTTCGACAGGACTGAGTTTTGTGTTAACGGGTGCGGGATGCAAAGTTGCTCCGAAGAACAAATTGAAAAATGATCACGAGTGTCCACCTGAGAGCCACTTTCTCTCATGCAACAATTTGTCTGGCGCGCAATTCAACCGTCGAATACGCGGCTGTAGAAAGGGGCCCGGGGGTGGATATCGGGTTGACGATCTTCGCATTTCTCGGTGTACAAAGTTCACAACCCCGTAAAAACTCGAGTCATAAACCAACACCTAAACACAAGCGTCAAGCCAGCGTTGTTAATATACTGCGTAGGACGTGCACAACTCTAAAAACCGAGATACGGGTCCCTTTCTTCTTTTCTTTCCGAGACCGAGGGCAGATGGTCCAATTCTATTGGGACATTTTGTACGAAGTACGGGTACCCCGTAGGGCTAAGCGTCAGTACGAACTCCACTTCATCTAGAAACCGAAGGCAGGGCTGATATTTCGTAGTTACGAAGTAGTCTTTTCTCATACCGCTCCTTGTGATCAGCACTTTGACAGTATGGAAATCGACGCTAAGCGTAATATGTTGCGGGCAGTAGACTCGCAGCACAGCCTAGCATCATCAAATTGATTGGGGACGATGCCGGGACTCCGGGCTGTGAAGACCTTGCCTGACCTCGTCGGCTTGAATACCTCGCGATGTTCGGTATTTCAGACTATAAAGACCACAGCCATTGTCTGCTATTCTCAGATCTCATCATCATCATCATCAACACAGTCACTACAACACTCACTACAAACTCAACTTGGACACTTTCTTTTACAAATCTACATCAAAACCCACCAAACTCCACCCATCAAAATGCAGTTCTCCACCACCTTCACCCTCGCCATGAGCGCCATGCTCTCCCTCGCCGCCGCGGGCACCATCCCCGCCGGTGACGCCAACACCGTTTTCCCCTCCCAGCTCTGTGGTTCCGGCTACGCCTCGTGCGGCAAGGCTGGCACCAACGGCGACGGAGGATCCCGCTGCGCGCTGTCGTGCACTTATGCCGGCGGCCCTACCTCCACGGGCACCTGCCAGTGCCCCACGGGATACTATGTCGACACTTGCATCAGCGGTGGTGCTTACAGCCGTCGCCACAAGTGCAACTAAGTGGTTTTAGATAATAACATTCATCGGTAAGCTTTTGTCCTTGTCTATGTACGGGGTTTATAGGCTAGAGCTAATGCTTATCCAGGGATCAGAAACAGTCGCAAAGCTATAGGCTAGAACATATGATAGAGCTGAATGGTTATTAAGTCCCTTGAAAATGATGTCATAGCTTTGGCTTGTTAGATGCCAAGAATCACTTGCTAGGAGCGTATTAAATACAAACTTTTGCTTCACGAAACCTTGCATTGACTACTATGTCTCTTTTATCATTGTCTCCGAGTTGCAGAATGCTATAATCAACTTTCTAGTACGTTACGACTACACAGCAGCACTAGACTGTCAGACTAGCTCCAGCTGTTTCCCAAGAGCCTGGATCTATGATTTGAGACTTAATGGCCTCATTTGGCTGAGTTCTGTGTCTCATGACAACATTCCTACACTTCTGGATACGGAACACGGGGTGAGAAGTCTGGACCAAGAAAATGTGCATGCAGACTTGTTTTGTTTCCAGGTAACCTTAGATCCACATAGGATGGTAACCCATAAGATAGTAGCCATCATACAGATAACTCTCTCAGCATACCAAACCCCCTTTTACGCGCATTCACATTACCCCCTCACTCCTTTCTAGGAGGGTTCTTCGTCTTACAGCTAACATGAAACAACGCCAACTTAACGATCCCCTCCATCCCCCTCAAAAGCCCAATATTTTCCTTGAACGGCTCCGTCTCGCGAAACTTCATATGCGCATCCACGCTCGGCCACCCGATAAACGCAGCGAGCAAGTTGCCCGTCTTCCCATACTCATCCGTAACGGGCACATCGTTCTCAACGCTCCACCCGTAACTTATCCCCTGGAAATCGGGGCTCGTATCGAGCGCCTTGGTCTTGAACTCCTCCAGCTGCGCCGTAAGGGCCTCTTTGGCGGCTGAGTCGAGATCGGACGGGAAGAAGAGAGTGAGGACCTCGGTGACGGGGGCCGTGGAGAGGATGGTGGGGGGCCAGACGGAGGGTGTGATGTGTTTTATGTAGCCTTGGGTCCAGTCTAGGTAGGGACCGAGGGCTTTGCCTATGGGAGCGTGGGTGCTGTGAAAGAAGGGGGGTGAGCGAGTGAGTTGCTTTTACGAAATGAAGAATCTTCTTCTCATGGCATGAGCGCGTTGGTTGACTTACTCGGTTTCGCGGTAGGCTAGGTGCTCTTCCACCGAGTCCCAGTCGAGGAAACACCACGACTGTGCAGGCTTCTCGATCGAGCTGCCGTAGTATAAGCTTCCGGCGCCGGGTTGGCTGACGGCGAGGTCCAAGACGCGATCATAGAGACCCTCCTCGTCGGGGATCGTCTTGCCAGGCTTGATGGTGAAGTAGGAGAATTCAGTCACACCCATTTTGACAACTTGTGAGGAGGAAGTGACTTGACTTGTAGATGTAGTCATTGATGAATTATCACGGGATGTGTATGACAAACTAACGGCCCAATTGTGCGCATCTATCGTCGTTTTATATCTCGCTATGAGCGGTGGGTCTCATGTGTTTGTAAGCCATGTTAACTATGTGAGATGAGGTTTAGCGTTGATGACATCAGCCTGGTTCATCTTAGTTATCTTTCTGCGCCGCGGAGTGACTGGGCAGAGGATTGGTCGTTGGTGGTGGAATATGCGCGAGACTGTGGGGTTTACAACCAACACGGAAGATGCCCTGGTGACTCACTTGAGATCATGTCGGTCTAGAACCCAAGAAAGAAGTCCCCTTTTTCTGGTGACTCAATTGAGATGGTTCTGTGTGTAGCGTAGAGTCTAGATTATTGGAAAAATCCCCACTTGGCGATGGTACGGTTCGTTGATCTTCAGATGATGGGCCGGGGAGTTGTAGTCACCATGCACTCAAGACACGGTCGACAGTTGGCTGCGATGCATGCTTTGCTTCAAAGCCCTTTAAGCCACTCTCAAAACAGAGTAATTCCTCAATGCTATTGGCCCTCTCCTTATGGACTCCTTGGGGACTTGCGCGAACCGTCAAAAGCTAGCATTGCCTCCAACCCGCGTTGGAAGCGGGGATCACTGGCCGCTTGTGACCCCGACCATTGATCCGAATCCCTCCTCATCTCCAACGTTGCCAGCTGCGGAAGATGACCACTGGAAGCTAGCCAATATGTCGCACAGGTCTCAATAGCAGCTCACCTCTCGGCCGACGTCCCGAAGCCAAGCCCCCATGACAGAACTCACAGGAGCCGCATCTCCCTCGCTAACCAACTCAAGGGGAAAGAACACGAACAAATACCACCACTCTCCAGCAGCCACCCCAGCTCTCCAGGACAATCACGACGAAAAGGGAGAAGGCTCTCTCACGACGTCGCAACCCGCGCGGCGCTCCTCAACTCTGCAACACCTACGATCCCCGCAGGCCGTTTCGCTATTGGTGTGGCTCGACGAACCCTGAAACCATCCCGTCTGGTGTTGTGGTTGAGACAAGGACCAGGGGTGCTCCTCGGATCTGAAGCGAAGGGGGGGGAAGAAAGAAAGAAAGAAGAGGTGAACCCCACCATTGTCTCGCATCCAATCAACCCACCCACCAACTTAAGTCGACTCCCTCTTATGCTCTCTCTCTTTCTTCCCTATTTCAAGGTTTGAGTTGGCCTGTCATGTCTGTCGCTAAAAGACCAGTGACACTGGGTCATCGGGTCTCTTATTCAGATGGAGACATGGGGGTAGGGGTATGGGAACAGGGAACCACAAAATAGCCCGAGACACAAGCGGCTCAAAAGTAGGCCGTCAGGGACAGCCTTACCGCATCGAGCGACGACCCGACTAGCCTTCGAGACTCGGATTGTTGCAAAGAGCCTTCTCTTTTCTGGACTCTTGTCAGTCTTGTCTGCCCTCCGACTCTGCACATATTACCATGGTCACGGTTCAACTGGCGTGTGCATACCACAAGTCGCCAGGTACAGCCTCCCTCGGCAAGGGATACACGCTTCGCGCGGACTCCTTGAGACTATGCCAACCTAAATCCTCTTCCCCTCCTTCTTCATCCCCGGCACCCATCATCCGAGATTTTGGCTCAATGTTTGACAGGGCTCATGATCCTAAACTACCATTTCTTGCGGTAACTGACAGGAAGACCTGGGATGATGGGAAATCATGAGATGGTTCTTTCATCAGAGTAAGTTGAGATCACCCAAGGTATGTTTCTTGAACTCATCTCCCAGAAAGCCTTCGACCAGGGGAACAAGCAAAGCAAACCACACCAGATTCCCGCAAAATGTGACAAGAGCAAGTTTTGGCGATGTTTAGACTTGGACTGGGGACCGATCCATCCCGCCCAGCTCAGCCCAGGCACAGGAAACCTAATACCGGCCCTATGCTTATTTGCCAAGCAACCCACCACCGTAACACCCACCCCTGCTCTGTCTGCCCTTGCTCTCTTTCCCCTTGTGATGTGATGCGATGTGATGCTTAAAAGGCGATCATGTCCAGTCCTTCCTCGCCTCTGGTTGTCTTGTTTCTAGATCGATAGCAGCAAGTTAATCGTACCCTATTCGTTCTTTTTCTTCTCCTTCATACAGTCCTTCCGGAAAGGCATTCGCTTCGTTTCGTTTCCAACTTTTGCATTACTTCCAGAAAGCACCTCTCTGTTCACCAGACTACTTCATAATCGTCACGATGCAGCTCTCTCTGGCCATCATCGCCGCCAGCGCCGGTGCCGCTCTCGCAGGTAAACTCCTCCCGTCATCTCACATATACCAGAGTATACCAAAGAAACACCAAGAAACTAACACAACATCATCACAGCCCCCCAACTCGCCCCCCGCCAAAACGCCTGCTTCATCGTAGGCAACACCGTCCTCCCCCAAGAAGTCTCCGACGCCGCCGCCTCCCTCGAGTCCAAAATCACCTGCGACGCCTCCAAAAAGACCCTCTCCAACGTCCCCGACGTCTCCGCCGGCGGCGTCACCTTCTCCTCCATCAACTTCGCCGACTCCTCCCAGACGCCCCTCGCCTTCGCCCTCGACAAGTTCGCCACCACCGAACCCCTCGCCTCCAACGACCTCGCCAAGTTCCAGAACGAGCTGGACGCGTACGTCGCCACCGAGGCCGGGATCAGGTCCGTGGGCGGGAACCTGGGGATCAAGGTGCCCAAGTTCTTCCTGTCGATGCAGGTTTCGAGGATCCAGACGGCGCAGGGGAACCCGCCTGCGGCGGCGGGACAGCAGGTTGATCACTTGCGGGATAAGGTGCTGAAGAATGCGCCCAAGGAGAGTAAGGCTTTGTTGGACCAGGTCACTGCCCTTGCTGCCAAGACGACCTAATCTGTGGTATGGTGGAAAGATGCTGCTGTTGCTTGTAAAGCAGTAGTACAAGGGAGGATGGAGGCAACGAGTTTGACGAGAAGTAATGTGAATTGGAAACATTTTTTTTATTCCATTCGTTTCGTTTCGTCTCGACATTGAATAAAAGAAGTTTAATACATGCCGCTTTCTGAGCGTACTATACAGGCCATTATAGGCATAGTATTAAAAACATGAGGAGTGGGGGAGTAGAGGAAAAGAAGAAAGGATGTTCTCCTTCTTTTGGTGTCCCAGTAATCGAACCTTTGTATCGTGTCAAAACGCCGCCGTCGAGTGGAAACCCGTCAAAAACACCATAATCGGGCCTCCCAAGTTATACACGCCGCAAGCAGGCAAACCTGCCTACTCTCATCTCGATACTTTATTTCGTTCGCCTTCGCTTCGTTGTTCTTCGTCGCCCCCTTATTGCTTTATTTCTGCGCTTACTTCTGCGCTGCCTGCTTCGCAAGCTGCTCCTGCTCGCGCACCTCGGCGCCAGAAGCACGCCACCACACGTCGCCTCCCCATCTAATAAGCCGCTCTGCAGCACCGAGGGGCGTGACGGCGGGCCGGACGTCGAGGTAGAAGACGGGTTCGCCGGTGGGTTCGGGCTCGCCAGAGTAGTAGTCGATGACGTATCGGATTTCCTTCTCGACGCCGCCGACCTTGCGGGAGACGAACCAGTCGTGTCGGTCAAAGGGAGGCTCGGTCCTGTGGGTGACGTTAGCATTCCGTTGAAGAAGGGTTTGAGAACTGAGGGGTACGCACTCAAACTTTGATGGGTAGAGCCAGCCGGCAACCTGCCACATGACAGCCTTGGGTGTCATATCCTTCGGGCGCCCCTGGAACCGGATCAGCGTCGGCGGCGTCTCACTGCCGTCCTTCAGCCTCTCAACCATATCCTCCGAGTTCTCCTCGCCGCGCTTGCACGCCTGCCAGCCCCGGTACAGACCCTTGCCGAAGCGCTCCTCCCAGCTGACAATCTCAGCCCAAGCGCCCTCGTTCAAGAAGTTGTGCACCGAGACCATGGATTCGACGGCCGTGATGTCGGTGTCGGTGTACCCCTTGCGCAGGAGGGCGTTGTACATCTGCTGAGGAGAGGGATACTCCCAGTTGCCGTCGCCGGAGCCCCTGGGTATCGTCGAGGGCTCTCTCTCCGTGGGCAGCGCGACGGCCTGGTTCTCGGCGGGTGCCTGGGAGATTTCTTTGAACATGTAGTTTAGGGGGTTGATTTGCTGGAGGAAGCCCTTGGACTCGGCGGGCTTTGGTGCGTCGTGGGGTACCGGGCATGATGCTGGCGGTGCTGCGGCGGCGTGCCGTTGATCGTGGGGGACGGGGCACGCTGAGGGGGGAGGAGGAGCTGCTGCTGCGTGGCGCTGGTCGTGAGGAACTGGGCAGGCGGAGGGAGGAGCGGGTGCGGCGGGCTTCGCGGTTGTTAACGCATCGGCGGACTTTTGGTGCATCGGACAGCTGGGCTGAGGGATGTTAGATAATGCCAGTCGATGCTTGGATTGGTGGTTGAACATACAGGAGGAGAGCCGGACGGAATAGCGCCATGAGGATGCGACGAGGCGAACGTCGCGTGGACGGTTGTCGCAGGAGCATCGGCCCAGAACCAACCCATGATTGTACAGTCGAAGAGATTAGGTAAAATAGATAAGTGGTAAGATAAAGTAGGGTATTGTACAAGAAGGCAGGTTGAACGCGACGAGTACGCGGGTGAAGTGGTGAAGTTGGTTGAAGGTATCGCGAATGGAGCTTGGGAAGGGAAAAAAAAGATTTACGGTTTTGGTGACGGAATCGACGATAAGAGAAAAGAAAAGGGCGTGGATAAACGGCGAGGTTCCACGGTGGGTTCTTAGCATCCGTAATCGACGGGACCGCAGTGGCTCACTGTCTGTGCCTTGCCCGCTGAGAAGAAAGAAAAAAAGCATCCCCTGCAGAACAGCGCTGTCGCCATCGGACAGACCCGCGACAGCTTTCCGACTTCAACCCGCGACGCCTAACCAATTGCTGCACGCAATACGTACAGTACACTCACTTAGGTATCTGTCAGTGCATGTGCAGAGTGCTAAAAATGCGAGTGTCATTGAACCGAGTGGCACATGATCCGCCGAAGATTCCCCGCCGCAGCTAAAGGAAGATACCCACCAGACCACCAGTAGGTGCCACCAAAAATCCCTACGTCACCACCCAATGGCACCAAAAACGCCCTATTCCATTCGCATTTCTCCGTCACCCCGTGGTCCCCGATCCCGCGATCCTGGGCGCCGCGCGACTTCACCTCTCTTTCGCGCCGTCCCTCCCCTCCCCCACCGAACGAGCTCACCTTCATAATCTACCTTCCTGAGAACATGACACCGGTTCTCCGATCATCAACCCCCGATCCTCCCTCGAGATGAGACTGGCCTTCGTCCTGGGCCGGTTTTGTCCACGTCCGGCCTTCCGAGCTCCAGCGCCGAACGGCACCACCACCCAATTCTACTCCACATTCAGGAGCACCTTCCGGAGCTCCCACCAACCGAGACGGATATCATGGCGAGCCGGCGGCAGCGGCAGTAGCAGTAAATACACGAGATATACCCTCCGAGCCGGCGGAGCAGGTGCCGGTGCACTCGGCACTGCCGCCTTCTTCGAGCTCTCGGAGAAGGATAATGGAGGCACCGACCAGACGGGCGAGAAGCGCATGCTGGAGGTCAGCCGAGCCGAGATCAAGAAGAAGGTCGCCGACGATGATAGCGGAATTTCGAGGGCGTGGCATACGTTGAAGATAGCTGTGGACGTGTATATCTGGGAACCCCTATGCACCGGCGTGCGGTTCCTCCATCTGCTCGTCATCTTTGTTCCCGTCATCGTCGCTGTTCCTGCTCTATGGCTCGGCAGGCGGCAGAAAGATCGCGATAACGAGAGGAGCGGAACGCTATGGTGGTACGGCTTCTTGGTCCAGTCCATGGAGTGGGCTGGCCCGGCTTTCATTAAGGTACTGTTCGATGATCACCCTGATTCGCAGATGTAGCAACATCACTAACACCGCGCAGCTCGGCCAATGGGCCGCCTCTCGCTCCGACATCTTCCCCAACGAAATGTGCGAAATCATGTCCAAACTCCACTCCAACGCCCCGGCGCATTCCATGCACGACACCAAGCGCATCGTCTCTGCTGCCTTTGACGGACGCGACTTTAACGACATTTTCGAAGAATTCGACGAGAAGCCCCTAGGCGTCGGCGCCATCGCCCAGGTCTACCGGGCCAAGCTCAAGGCCAGTCTCGCGGCCCCCGGCGACGCCGACCTCCCGGAAGAACCCAGGCCACTCCGTCACAAGGTCGCAAAGAACGTCGATGCTGCTCTCAAGAGCACGCCCAAGAGGGTTCCCTCCACCTACGTCGCTGTCAAGGTCCTGCACCCTCGCGTTGAGAGGACCGTCCGCCGAGATCTACGCATCATGCACTTCTTTGCCTCCGCCCTCAACGTTATACCCACGATCGAATGGCTCTCCCTCCCCGACGAGGTCGCGCAGTTTGGCGAAATGATGAAGCTTCAGCTCGACCTCCGGATCGAGGCCGCCAATCTCGCCAAGTTCCGCAAGAACTTCAAGGATCGCACAACGGCATGGTTCCCCTACCCGTACACAGAGTTCACCACCCGCAACGTATTAGTCGAAGAGTTTGCGCAGGGCATACCCCTAGCCGACTTTATGGAGAACGGCGGCGGTGTCTTCCAGCACGATATTGCTTCGGAGGGCCTCGACGCCTTCCTGCGCATGCTGCTGATTGACAACTTTGTCCACGCCGATCTGCACCCAGGCAACATCATGGTCCGCTTCTACCAATCCCACGAGCCAGACCTCAAGTTCCGCAGGAATCACGCCAAGGAGCACCCAGAAGACCAAGACGACGTCACAGAACAGGTCCTCGCCCGTCTGCGGCCCTATCGCCATAGAAAGGATCCCGCGGCGTGGGCGGCCGAGCTGCGCAAGATTGACAACGAGGGCTTCCGCCCACAGCTCATCTTCATCGACACGGGTCTGGTGACGGAGCTCAACGAGACGAACCGAACGAATTTCCTCGACCTCTTCAGAGCTGTAGCAGAGTTTGATGGGTACAAGGCCGGTAACCTCATGTGTGAGCGCTGCCGCCAGCCTGACGCCGTACTCGACAAGGAGGTATTTGCGCTCAAGATGCAGCATCTCGTTCTCGGCGTCAAGAGCCGCACCCTCGCGCTGGGTAACATCAAGATTGGCGACATTCTGCAGGAGGTTTTGGGTATGGTCCGCGGGCACCACGTCCGTCTCGAGGGTGATTTCGTCAACGTCGTCATCAGTATCCTGCTGCTCGAGGGCATCGGGCGCAGTCTGAACCCGGATATGGACCTTCTTAGCAGCTCACTGCCAATTCTCCGGCAGCTGAGCGCGCAGAGCGGTGCCGAGATGGCGAAGCATGGTGATTTTAGCATGTTGGTCGTGTGGGCTGGCCTGGAGACCCGGCGGTTCTTACAGGCGAGTATCGAAGATGTGAGTAGTGAACTCGTTTTTGTTAATGGTGTACCTTTGCTAACGATCCCTAGGTTGAACGTTGCGTTAAATACGATCTCCTTGCACCGAATGTGTAATGTAAACTGTACACTACTTGTAAATGATTGCATGGGTTGGCGCTCTAGATGGGGCATGGTAGAGATACATCTCGTAGAGCAGAGACCTCGAATACACGCCAGATTTAATTTGTTACCAAATAGTGTTGTGTCCCTCTCTGCTGTATGTCAGCCTCAGCATCTCTCGGGCATGTAGGTCGATCAATGACGCTGCCGGTCAATGGTACTGACAACGCTGGTGTTGCTCATGAGCTAGGAGCGTTGGCAGCTCACGTCGGTAGAGTCATCAGCTGGGGCCAGCTTGAACATCTGGGCGAAGGAGCTGGTGATGGTTGCCGCTAGGAATCCGAGTTAGTGAGCGTTGACCCTACGAATGTAAATTCGAGCTCGTTCC